GCATTGACTGACCAAGATTCGCGCAAATTCCGGACTCCTCTTCAATCCAAGAACAATTATTTTGAAGAACGACTTAGATCCAGACCACTGAAATAAGGTTTTTTCGACTTTCGCCCGAAGACACACCGAAAACCAATTTCTTAAAGAGCAAACAACTTGAAGCGTTAAACTCGCCTAATGGAAAACTACGTGTCACAATCCATAGAACGGGTCAGAGATAGACGCAGTCCCATGTATCTAACAACTAGACATAAAGTTTGTTATCCTTTTTTGATACCTTGAATTTTTGAGTTATCATTTTATTTTCTTTTATGCATATTTGTGCGGTGTCACCCCCGTTTGAACCCGATTTGCATTACGGCCCCAACTACTGATTGATTTCGTCTGCCTAAGATCAATTCACAACGTGGGTAGGCAGACTGGAGATCAATGCAGTTACTTTGGTAACCAGACGTTGGAAGCAAGTTGGGAACGACGAGGCTGATATCTAATCTAACCAGATTCCCATCCGAATCACCAAAAAGGTTAGAACGTCACATTTGGGTGCCGCGACCGATACCAAGCCAGTTGGTCGTCACAGGACGAGACAACACGATTGACGCGACAGGCGGACGTCACGTTTGGAGCGGCGACACCCGAACGAAGCAGCGAGGAGCGAGCGAAGGCTGTGTTTAGGGACGTCACATTATAATTATCGTTAATTCACTCATTCTTAAACCAAAGAGACTTGACCCGAATCGTCATGTTCCTTGGACCCTGTTCTTTTATTGTCTTCTCTCTCATCGTAACGTTTTTTTTTTTTTGCTTTATTTCACTCTAAGTAATCCTTTGCGTCTTTGTGGCGTTATCACTTTGAAGAGGTGAAGTGATAGCGTCCACCCTTAAAAAATCACGCATCATGGCTAAGAAATATTATCCTTTCAACGAACAGCTTAAAGATTTACAACTACGGGCAACACCAGAATAATATATTTCGAATTCCAAAATATAATAATGAAAGAAAAGAAAATTTAAGATTGGATTTTTTTGGCGGATTTTGCAGATAATATTTAAAACAGAAGAAAAAACAGAGAAATAAAAGAAATATATTTAATTTGAAAAAAATTATTTACTATTCTTCTGTGGATTTTGTGACAAATCTCTAGCTTTGTGGACTAACACGGACATTCCAAGTTATCTGGCTTTCATTTCCCTCTTCGGTTGGGATCGGTGTGTCGTATCAAGAGGTTTGATTCGATTTTCCCAAAATCTTACAATATTGGGACTGACAGCGAAGTTGTAATTGCTTTCTTGGTTTAATTAGAGAGTGTTTGATGTGTTTAGGCTAAGCCAAGTTCGGCTCCCCGTATAGAACGCTAATTTTAACGTCCTATCCCGATCACGGCTCGAAGTGAAATCGCCTCTTCAGATTTAGAACTCAAAAGCTCTTATTTTTTTTCATTTTTTTTTCCAACTACTTTTAGTGTGCAACTTTCTTACTCATGGTTCCACTGACTTAAAGACCGAACCCCGCAATAAAAGAAAAAAGTTGAAAGATTATTTTTGTTTCAGAATCCTTCGAAAAAACCTGCCTATGTCTTTTGTTGAATGAATTAAGGAAGTAAATATTTTTCCAGCATCATTTCTTCCATTTCTCTGTAGGTTAATGTAACCTAAACCGTTCCTTTCATTTGCTGTTTATTCGCGGTATGCATCGTTCGTCCGTCTTTGGTGAGAAAAGGGTTCAAGCAACTTCTATCATTGGAAACCAAAGACCTCTAGATCTTCATTCAAATGCTTTTTCATTCTCTTGTTATATAATCACAAAGGGAAAATAAATCAAATAATCCGAATTTTTCTTGTTTTGGAAAAGTAACCAAGAAGAAACTTTTCTCATTTTTTCTATTTTCAAAGAGTTTGTCAAATATGGAACCGAAAACAATAAACTATTTGGTTGCAAAACAATGAAATTCAGAATCGACAAGAAAGACTTATACATAGTCTCTTTTTAGTGAGGAAAATAAGAACAAGTAAAAGTTCGTCGTTGAGGGAAAGAATGGCAATTTTTTCCGCCGTAATGGCACTCCTTTTGACTTTCCCGTGGTTATACACGCCTTCGGCTCCGAATGGCAATTTTTTGAATACGCAGGAGACGGTCCGATTTTTTTTTGAGTTTATCCCAAACGGAAGTATCTGCATCGAGCCTATGCGTAGACGTGCAGTTTTCATTTCGAGTCGGGGACTCGTGATGGTAACTTCCGTTTATCGAAGCAGGGCAAGATCTCATCTTGTAACAGGACTATTGTCCTAATCTTTGTTGCCATATTTGTTGCCATATTTATCACAACGTTTCGGCCGTTGTACGCTCCGGCCTTCTTCAGGTGGTTGGAATGTCGAACTGAACCCTTTATCAACCCCTGTCAGCTATCAGTTATCTCCTGCTAATTCCCCTCTCCAAGTTCTCCACCGACTTAACCAGGTATTGAGATCGCACTCTTTGTCACTGGATCTAACTAACGCCTTTATCTACTGTGTCATGTGTCCTTGAGGACATTTGTGAATGAATTTCTGGATATTATAAACCTAATGCCTTCAGCATTCATTTTTTTACTAGTGCTCATATTGCAATTTTTACTGTTATCAATTTTTGTTTTTTACCAGGGTTCATATTGCAAATGTCCTTGTTATTATTTATTCTCTCTGTCACTCCTTATTACTGGTTCGCATATTGTATTCATTTCTATGCTTGGTCGGATCAGGAGAATTTTGTGGCCTAGCATATGCGCTGATTCCTTAAGTTTACGAATTTTCCAATGATGTTCTTTGTCTATGATCCCAACTTGATCCCACAGAGTGCGGTAATCTCATTTCTCTCTCCATATGTGGTCAGCCACGCCTGATTTTTCCACTTCCCCTCGTGTTACAGCTTTCTAGTGTTCTTAAAGCCTTACCTAAAGGGTGCGGCATGTCTCCCCTTTATGTTTCGGGTTGATTTAGGCTTTCAGTACCGCTACAACGCGCCAACCCTGGGTGTAACATCTGCTACCTATCCCTCTGCCTAAAAGGTCTTCTTAGTAGAACTTAGAATACGTTAATTTCAATCCTTATAAGGAAGTATGGCACCCCTCTTCAAAGGGTCTACTTCCCAAATAGATACTTTCAACTGCTAATATATGAACTTTTGACGCAAGTGCTAACAAAACTGAACCTGTCTAAATGTGATTTTTGTCCGATAAAAGTTATATTCCATATTAAATAACCCAACACGGATTGATAAATTAATCAACCGAACTAATCAGTGCCTGAACAAAATAACCCATAAAGTTAAATTATTTATGATAAAGATAAGAAAATATTTGAACTTTCTATTTCTCTCAAGAATCAGACATTTTAAAAGGACTGTAAACTGAATCAGCCTCGGCATTGCGATAAAAACTTTGATAATGAATGTAAATGAACAAAGCTTTGAATGTGGGTAAATTGTTTGGTGAGAAGAGTGACCTAATATAACGTTCAACAGATGGAATAATAACTTATGAAACAGATAAATAGTGTCATAAGACGTAGCCGGTTCCGTAGTGTAGTGGTTATCACGCTCGCTTCACACGCGAGAGGTCCTGGGTTCGATCCCCAGCGGAACCATTATGCGGTCCCATTTGTTATCTTAATTTTTTTTTTCTTTTAAATAAAATTTATTTTTACCTTTTGTTGATGTACAAGTTTCTTTATTTCTTCGCCATTGTTTAAAGCTGCCGACATAAAAAGTGTCTTTGTTTTTTTTAAATTTTATTTTGTATTGACATGTTACAGTAAAGTATAAGAGAAGCACAATTACTGCATTGTCTTTGTTTTTTTTTTTTCCTTTGGCACTACTTAGGTCGACTGGTTTAAAAAATAGGGAACATATGTTTTGGGGAATCATTTATGCAAATTAACATTCATTAAGCCTTTATCAAATCAAGACAATTGGCAGAAACGAAAAATATTGATTTGTTTGCATTATTTTTGAAACTGGGTCTTGTTCAGTGTAAAATTGATCATAATATCGATACAGTGTAAAACTGATTCATGATTTTTACAGATTTAACTTTACTAAGATGTTCTGCGTACGAAAACAGAGTTTCTTGATGACAAAATATTTCTTTTAAATAATTAAAAAAACGTCAATATTACATTTCAGTTAAAAAAGCAAAAATTAAATAAATTAATACAAATATATATCCGTTTATTCTTCATTAAGTTTTATTAATTATTATCCTCTACAAAAAAAATCAGTAAATTAAAAACATCGATTTGTGAATGTATTTAATTTATATTATGAACATGTCCCGTTTTCAAAATCGATAATGAAATCAATCAATATTTTTCGATTCTTACAAATGTCGTACTTTGATGAATCTAAAAAAAATTATTACTCGAGAAAAGTTTTACCTGTATTTTACACATGGACCAATTTCTTCAACTAGCACTTTTCCTTTCACTTAAATGGACATAAGAAAATAAAGATACTCGAAACCGGTGCAAAGATCTTGTACACCCCCACCCAGAATCTATGATACGCCCCCCACATTCTACTACAAAAACCTGAGATTTTTCTTGTTAAAAAGTTAAATAATTTTAACACGTTCAACATTACGGCTAAAAAATAATGAATTTTATGGTGTTTTTTCGAGTCTTAGCATGAACAAAACAAATTCACGGATTTGGATGAGAATAAAAACCCTAGAGAATGACGTCAAAATCCACAAAGATTGGTTAATCATTTAATAGTCAGTCGTGCTTAGTTTAATATTTAACGATAAATAAAGTAGAAAATAAGTTGATAAAATAGCGAGAGTCATAAAGCACTACCCGGGGGCCCTCAATCACGTTTCTCCTCCCGGTTGAGGGGAGCTCGGGGTAGTATGCACCGGCCCAGAAGCAACTCAACCGGGAAGATAAACCAATGCACAACATAGTCACTTTTTACATCCATTTTCTTCAACAAGTCATTTGTGTGGATGCTCTATTATACTGGCTTCCGGCTAGATCATATTGAAACCCCGGTTTTCGTACAATCACTGAAGTTAAGCAACGTCAACCTGGTAGTATTTAGATGGGTGACCGCTTGGGAATACCAGGTGCTGTAAGCGTCGGTGTGCGGATGGTGTAATGGTCAATGGCTTGGAATTGTTAATCGGAGAGCTGAGTTCCTGTTGTGTTCGTTTTTTTTTTTCACTTACGCGCAAATACCATTGGAAAAGGTATCTCTCCCCGGCTATGGATTAATTAGTAAGACTTGTAACAATAAACAATTATTATTTTAATGCTCCAGAATTGCCATTCATTTACGCAAATACCATTGGGAAAGGCATGAATTCACCTCCCCCAACTATAGGTTAAGAAATAAGACATGTATCTGAAAATCATTATTTAAAACATTCTTACAATCTAAAAATATTTTCCGGCTCTAAAATAAGCTGCAAAATGTAGATAAGCCATGAAAACAAATCAATCTGTGCATGTGGTCCTTCATTTCATCTTTGAATTTCAATTTGCATATTATCTTTTTTATAAAAAATTATTTTGTTGTAAAAACAAAAGAAGTTAAATGTATGAATTCACCTCCTCCAACGTTCGAGAATGGCTTTGCGAGTGAAACTTGGAATCAAGTTAAATTTAGTGTTTCTTCATTCTTAGAATGTGTTCCGTCTCTTGTAGTTGTTTGTTTTTTCCTGGTTTGGACTATTGACCTTTGTTTCTTTTCAATCAGATTAACTCATAGCTTTTAGCGTTTCTTTTTCGTCTTTTTTGACACTTCATCTATTTCAATTTTATGTTTTATCGGTTTAGTGTTATCATTTATTTTGGTGATTACAATGATAAGTAAAAAACAAACAACTAATATAATGATTTGTATATAGTAGAGTTGCCTGCTTACTATTATGGGATCATCCCATTTGTCTGGTAAAGAACTTGTGCTAACAGCCTCTTGATGACACTGTAAAAGAAGTACATAAAAAGTGAGCAAAATACCATCCCTTATTTTTTTTTCTTTACTCCCAGGAAAAAAACGTGTCTTGCTCTCCACTGGAGGATCTTTCAATCAATCGGAAACCTGTTATATCCGTTTGTTGAACACTTTACTCCTTTGAAATATAATTTGCAAAGTAGTTTCAGTTTAATGAATATTTTGGAAACGAAAATTTTCCTGATTGAGCCAGTCATGAATAAATGAAACTGAGATTGATGATATCGCAGATGGTAAGGTTATATATATATATATATATATATATATATATATATATATATATATATATATATATATATATATGTATGTTTGCATGTATTCTAACTTGTTTGGTTGAATAATATTGACATATTATGTCTATTATTTATTTTAATCCTTTGAATTCTCGGATCATTTTCTTAATGTTGATATTTGTTGTGACCAAGTAGATGGTGAAGAATAACAAAACAAGAGGTTGTAGATAAATAGTGCATTGAACAGTAAATACACGAGAAGTGTGTTACACGACTTGCGAGTGTGTCTCAGTTGACCAGCGTTCAGTCTACCACTGTTATATTTAACAGCCCCCCCCTGTGAGTTATATGTGGTACAAGGCCGAGTTTAACGTGGGTCATCCGAGTCCGTAGGTTCGGCCAAAAAATATCCGTAGAACCTGCATAAACGGGTTGGGGTCTGTCTACCTCTCCAGACAAAACTCTGCCCTTTGGTACAGCCTCGTCCGGGTTCTTCTCTTTCAAAGGCAGAGAGTTCGACAGGAGCTGCGTACAGTCACAGCCTCGGAAGAACAGTCTATCACTGTTCCCCCAATTTTTACTTTCTTACTAATTTATAGTAAGTGGAAGAGTTCACAATAGCCTCATTAGAGGGGAGACACCACAACAATATTCATTAAGGAAGTCGGAGTAGTTTTTTTTTATTTCTTTTATTTTCCCAAGTTCTTTCAATCTCATCCAAGATCATCTTCAGGAGTGAATTGCTAAGACAAAATGTTAATGTAATTGATAATTGTGATTTTTTGTTTTTTAAATGCGCATGAAACACGCTCTGTTATAATTATGAACACGTATAAACGCGCTCCGTTGTAGTCAATTTAAAAATTAACTGTTAAGGATATTATGTTATCTGCGGGAGGTAAATTTATATATATTTTCAAGTTTTAAAATTGTATTAAATAAAAAAAATACAATTAGAGTATTTTAAAACGTTGTGTTATAGACATTTTAACCCATTGTTGCTATACTGATAATTAACTTTATTTAGTGTTCGTTGTATTTTCCTTATACAGAGGGTGTCAAGAATTTGAAGGTTCTGTTGTTTGTATTTTCATACTAGAGTATACTTGTATTGTCAATTAAAATTTCTCTAAAACGTGAATAGGGACAGGAATTTTCTTTTAAATCTTGTGCAACAGAACTTGAATCCGGCATTTATAATATAAGCCTCCTTGATAATATTGTTTTCGCGGAACCAATATATATATATTTACTTTTTGCCAGAGATACAATCACCCAAATGACATTTAAATTGATATACAATGTTTGTCTTTTGCAAAACATTACTTGGTGGGGAATGGCTATTTCATGTGGTTAAACTGGTTGTATTAAATTTAGTTTTAGTATATAATTAGTTTTATTTTCTTTTATTGGGATCAGTGAGCGATATATTAATGCTTGTGAGATTTATTTTAGGATATTTTTATCTAGTTTGTAGTTAGAGTGTTATTTTGTTGAGTTCTTTGTAAATAGTTTTGTACATTTTTGTAAATATTTATTGGCGTAGATTTTTAAATGTTTTACATATGAAATTTAATTTGCCTTGTTTGCCTTGTGTGCTGGTCAAAGGATTTTCACGTGTGGGTGTGCGTGGGAGATTCTGGTTACATGTCATCAAACCCAGGCAACGGGAAACGTTCAGCAAAATTCTTCACTTCTTCTTTTAAAATTTCCAATCTTTGTCGTATGGCAAAGTCATTTTCAAGCACCTCCATGAAATCAACCAGCGAAGGGTGTGATTTGGAAGCTACTTCTTTTGCCATTTTGATGCCTACAATAAAAACAAAATTTAGGGAAAATACTTTCATGCAACAAAAATTTCACATTCCAAAATTACTTTATTTGTAATTTCCCTTCATCTTGGTCTTTACAAATAATATGAAATTTTCGATTCAGATGTAAATTTCACTCCATCTTTTTAAAGTAGCATCCATATCGACTGTCGACAGCAGTAATACTTACATTTACATACGTTTTTCATTCTTAGTTTCGAACACAATATAACATGCTTTTGAAGAATGCTTTTGTATCCTGTCGGCACTCTACAGCGATCACAAAACTGTCCTTTTCAGGACAACACTCTTCAGCGACTGCAAAACTGTCCTTTTCAGAACAACGATCTTCTCACCCTCTACATGAATATGCAAAGATATTTTTGCTTAGTACACTACAACCTCAGTTTTTAAGGATTTTCTACAATGAAAATGAATTTGGCAATATATTTATTTACCCAAGTCCTTGTTTTGTTTGCTGTTGTCTTCCCTCATTCAAATGGTTAGCGGCATTTTTTAATTGTTTTATGCAATATAGACGCTGGTGTCGCAATGAACGGACGTGTTTTTTCATTGCTCAAAGAAAGCCACGCCGTTTTAATTATTTTAATACATTAAATATTCTTATATTTTTCGTTGTTTATTAAATTATAATTTTATGCAATTATTTTGTAATGTTTAAATATTAAAATGAATATTTCTTTATTTTTTAAGATAAGTCATGGTATACATCGATTTTCTTATTTTTAAAAATAAGTGTTATTTAGCAAGTTTAATTTATTAAGAACTAACCATTTAAGTTTAATTTATTAAGAAAAAGCTGCACTATGTGAGGAATAAAAGTAAAGGGACCTCTGGTCCAGCTTAGAAAACATCAATGATAATTTTGAAAAAATATCTTTGAATTTCTCAATCCATTCCATGGAACTTCAAAACCAAACTTTAACTTTGATTCAAACCATAAGTTCAGTTCCAGCATAAAGACTCCGATTTAGGCCGAAACTTCGATTTGGACCGAAACACCAATTCAAGCCGAAAATTGAATTCTTCAAATCACAAACTCATTGGAACTTCAATTGTTTTGAGTTCTTCAAATCATAAAACCTCTCAATTTAACTCTGATTCCTTGGCATTTTGAAGAAATAAAATTGATTTCCTCAATTTACAAAGTTTTGGAGATATTTTAAGCTGAATTAAAAACGAAAAGATTTAAATTCACAAAGTTTCGGAGATATTTTAAAATGAATTAAAAACAAATCTTTTTCAATACACAAAGATTTTGCGCTAATTTAAATTCAATATAAATTTAAAAAAATTTAAAATACTATTTTTGTTCACTTATTTTAAAAGTTGTATTTTTAACTGTTCCTTCCTCATCCTGAAACTAATCCTAATGCTGGATGTTCAAGCACCAGTTGAAGGACGGATTTCTAATCCCGCGATCATCCTAATTTCTAAAAGGTATAATATGTCTATGTAGAGCAAGTATGGACAGAATTAAAGGGGTTTCAAACACACGGACGGACAGACAGAATTTGCCATTTATTTATTTAGATGTCTCATTAAGAATTATTATATTAAGAACATTCAACCAATACCCTGTATTTGATATTGTTAATAAATTTTAATTAACATTAGCTCAAAAACATTTTTCTATTTTCTTCAATCTAAGCACGTGACTTTTTCATAAAAATGACATGTTTAGTCGATCATAGATAAAAAGAGGGGAACAATTAAATGAAAAAAAAAATTATTTTAAAAATAAAATAGTAAAACGACGTTTATTAATTTTTTCAATTTTACATTCGTAAATTTTGTTTCCGCTTAATTACAATATCACAGCCAAGAAATAGCGCAATTACAGAATTTTAAATGATTTTTGAACTATCTTAAATTATTATAATTTAAATCTTAAAAAAATTAAAAAAATTATTGTAAAAATTCATTATTTATCGGAAAAATTTGATTTTTTTCCAACAATAGGATCCTTAATATAACTTATTTAGAAAAGCAATTAAAAGCTTTTCTAATTAAATAATGTCATAGTTTTATTGCATTTATTATTTTTCAATTCAG